AGCCATGCTGGCTGGGGAATTCTGGGAGTTGAAGTCCACCCATCTTAAAGTTGCTGAGGTTGAGAAACCCTGTAAAATCATCTGCCTGGATGAAATTGCTTAAAGGAACTGAAAAGAGATGCCTCACACTGATCACAGGCAGTTAAAATATGGATGCAATTCTTAAAAATGGGCAAAGTTTGCAGGAGGGTACAGTCAGATATGTGGTTTTTTGGCCTCCAAGGACCCCAGGGGTGTTAAGGCCAGGGTGTCATCAGAGGAGGTGTGGGCCAAACTTTGTTCTGGTTTGGGGGGGGGGCTGCCTAAAATAGATGGGTTAAAGTTACCGCGTGCTTAATTCATTTTTTTAATTTGGCAAATTTAATTTGCCAAAAATTGGCAGCATGATCCGGCGATTATTTATTATTATGAAGGGTATTTATTAAATTTGTACACTGCCCCAGCAACCCTGGGCAGTTTGCAAAGTAAAAACTCAGAAAAATAACACTACAACATTAAAGATGAAGGAGCAAAAGGATGGCAAAACCAGGCAACAATGAGAAGCATACATCCAGAAGCGACCACTGTAGCTTAAAGCCTGGGCAAAGAGTCTTCAAGGCTCTCCGATAGTTTTATTTTTTCATGAATTGCAAAAATTGGATGGGGGTACGGCCTGCAGCTGGCAGGCCATCCAACCCCTGCTGGAAATATAATTTTTTATTTACACACACACATACACACACACACATATATAAAATTATAACTTAAAAAAAATCAAGGCAGGGTTTGGAGGATATATTTCCTGCTACGCTGGGACATTTCTAAAGTTGCCACCCTTCCCCTCTCTACCACTCCAGATTTCCCCCAAATATCTACTTTCTGTCCCAGTTTAAAAGTGAGCTCTAAACTTTGCAAGCTTCTTGAGAACAGGAAGATATTCCACTGCCGATTTGCAAAGCACGAAAGAATCTGCTCTCGCCAGCGTGTAGCATAAGCTCCCGGCCCCCCTCCTGCTTTCCCAGTATTAACAGAACACCACCCCAAAGTCAACAGCATCTTCACTTTCCCTTTGTCCACTTTTTCTGAAAATACCGTCAATCCCTTTGCAGGGAGCTGATGTTCATTTCCACCTACTTTTAGGAGTGCAGGGGGAAAAAATCTGAACAGATGGATATTTTGGTTTGTTCAGGGTGTTGAGTTAATATTGTGAATATGAACAGAAAAGGAGCAGAAAAAAAATCATCTAAGAATAACTGACTCAGAAAGAAGATTATGCTGTTGCTTTCCTGTATGAATCCTTGCTCTGGGCTTGTCTCCAGCCAAAACAAAAACTAAGAAACTCCGGAGGGCTATGCTAATTCTAAAGAAGAAAATACTTTTTAGCTGGGGTGTGTGTGTGTGTGTGCATGCGCGCACACGCAGTATTTTTGTTGTCTGAAGTTTTTTTTTTAAAGGCTGTCTTGCAGCTGTGCAGGAAGGCTGTAGCACATGATCTGCAGTAGGAAGGAATCTGCATTAATCCATCTGAAGCTTGAAAAGTCAGTGGTGCTGTGTGCTGTAGCAAGTCTCATGCAGCAGGAAAAACCACCCTGTGTTTGTTGCCTTAGGCTCCCAAGGATCTCATTTTCAATCAACAGGATACCAGGCAGGGCTGAGAAGAGTCAAGATCTACTTCCCCCAGTTTCTGCCCATTTGGTAAAAGCTGACAGAGTTGGTGCACTCTGGATCCCCTTGATTAGACAGTGCCAGCTCTTGGGACCCAGCATGCAGGCCTTCTCTGCCATGGCACCTGCCCTCTGGAACTGGATCCTTCCAGAGATCCAGGTGGTATCCCCCAGGGCCTTAAAGGCCTGGCTCTTCTTCCAGGCCTTGGGGTGAGACAGACGGGGCCCCTCCCTCAATGTGTTCCTGTCTATACAGGCAGTCCCCTGGTTAAGAGCGTCTGACTTACAGACCACTCATACTTATGAATGGGCCTATTAGTAAATTGCAGATGGCGTTCTCCTTCCCCGAGCCGATGACTCACTGAGGCCGCACAATGTTTTCATGAACCGCTGAAGCTGCGCATTTTTAATATACAGCCTGTTTTCAGTGGTTCATGAAAACATTGCGCAGCTTCAGTGGTTTGTCGGCTCGAGGATGGAGAACGCTGTCTGCCATTTTTAGTAATAGGCAGCCCATTCGTCCAACAAATACATACAAATTCGAGTTAAAGACAGACTTAGGAACGGAACTCGTTCTTAACCCAGGGACTGCCTGTATAGGATCCTGTTAGAATGGATGCTGATCTTGTTTACTTTTAACTGTTGCTTGTTCTACATTGTGACCCACCCAGGGTTGTCCTGAAGTCGGGTGGTGTCTAAATCTAAGCAAATAAATGAATAGCCTGCAGTAAGGGACCCTGGAGGAGAAGCTGCCACTGGTCAGCGCAAAACTGGGGTAGGACATCTCCATTTCCCCTCCCCTCCTACGAGAGGTTGTGGGGAGGATGGGGAAGGATCGGAAGGGAGAGGAGAGAGACCTAAGCGGTCAAGGGATGGAAGGCAAGACCCTTGTCAGCTTAGCTCATAAAGAGCAACTCAGCCCAGG